GTGACGCCCGCAAGCAGGAAGTCCTGGTTAATGATCAATCATGGGGACAGGTGCGGGACAAGGCCGAGCACATCAAGGCGGCCGCGGGGGGCGGGGTGGCTGTGCAGAGCCTTCTACCTGGTGTCAGGGCAGCTGCCGAGGGGGATGGGGGGGAGGCTTGTCCTTCGACATTAAAGCCAGGAGCCCAGCCAGCTCGCTTCTAGGTACCCTGCCGCGTTACCGCGTTAGAGGCAAATGTCCCCTTTCCCAGGACAGCCCTTCTCCGCCAGCGAGCACCGACCACCCGTCCCTTCTAGGGAGCCTCTCACGACCTAACTCCCCGACCCCATGGGGCGCAGAGTCCCCTCTCCCGAATGCAGGTGGACACAGTGACCTGCTCGCGAAGGGCAGCCTGCCGCTGAGCGTGGCTGTGGCTCCTACGCCAACGCCGGCCCTCGGTTCTGCCATCTGCACGACGGGCTGGTGGCGGGACCGGGCGACCCGTCCAGCCAGGGCCACGAGCGCCACCTGGAGGCCGCGCTCCGCACAGCCACCGCCCCGCGCCTGCAGGACCGCCCCGGTCCCACAGGGGGCGCAGCGCTCACACGACCAAGGGACCAAGAAGGAGGAAAAAAAAAAAAAAACAAAACCATCTTTCGTTTTATTGAATGAGGAAAAAAAGGTAAGGGGAGGGAGGGAGGGGAGAAAATGCCTTTTGCTTCGTTTATAAAGAGCAGAGTTCTCGGGACGTCTCTTTCCCAACTACAAGCCAAGCCAAGCCAAGGAGGGGCGGGGATGGGGAGGGGGCCGGGGACCCTCCCAGCGCCCCTCGGACAGGAGCCACAAGCCTTCTACCCCCACCCACAATGCATCTACCCCGGGGGACCCGCGTGGACCAGGGGAGGGGTATGTACAACACGTGGGGTGGCACCGGGCTGGGTGGGGGAGGGAATAATTTATCCGCAGCGGGCGGCGGGGCGGGGGGCGCAGGGACGGCAGCGGCCTAGGGGTCCCGTTCCTTCTTCACCTTGATGTCTCCGGCGAGGATGGTGGCGATCTCGCCCTGCATGAAGGCCCAGGGCACGGACGAGCCCACCAGCGGGCACTTGTCCCCGCTCGGGCAGTACACCTCGCCCGCCGGGCCCTGGGCCTTGATGAACTCCCGCGAGCAGGGGAAGCAGAACTTGTGTCCGGGCACCGAGGGGCACTGGACGAAGTGGGTGTCTTCGAGGCGCTCCCGGCACAGGGTGCAGCACAGCGGGGCGCCGGGGGTCGCCCCCGGGGTGGTGCCGCCGCCCCCGCCGCCGCCCGTGCCCACCGCCTCGGCCCCGGCCGTCGGGCTGACCTCGGCCTCCCCGTTGCGGGCCACCAGGCGGTGCTGGCCGGGGGGCTGCGCGGTGGAGGAGGCTGCGGGGCTGGCCCCTCCGGCCCGCACGGGGCCCCCGCTGGGGTCCTTGGGCGAGTGACCCAGGGCTTCGGCCACATTCTTGAGGGCGGCGATGGGAGACGGCACGCCGGGGGTCTCGGCCGAGTAGGGACCCCCGGGGGCCACCCAGTGCCGCTGCTGCTGCTCCTCCGTGGTCAGCTTGCCGGCCGCCTCGCCGCCTTCGGGCTCGGGGGACGCCTTGCGCCGGCGCGGCGTGGGCGCCAGGTTGCGGGATGGCGCTCGCGGGGGTGGCCCGCACAGGGCGGCGGGCGTGCTGGGCTCCGGGTACTGCTGGGGCAAGGCCTCGGCCGGGGCCGGCTCGCGGAAACTGCGCACGCCGTCGGTGAGCAGCTCGCCCAGCTGGCGCCACTCGCCCGAGCCGTGCCGTCGCTCGTATTCCAGGTACTTGAAGCCGGAGGAGGCGAGCGCCTTGCCCGGTTCCCGCAGGGCGTCGTGGAACATCTGGCGCGCCACGGCCAGGACCCCCGCGTACACGTTGCCGGAACCGCACGGGTACTCGGTGAACAGCTTGAGCTCGAACTCGTAGCCCGGGGGGCGGGCCGTGGCGTCGAAGGCGAAGACGCGCCCCACCAGGCCGTGATCCTTCTTGAAGCGCACGTTGAACGGGGCGCAGGCGGACAGTGCCAGCAGCTGCTCGCGCACGGCTTTGGGGCGCCCGTGCCACTCCTCCGCTCGGCCCCGCATGGCCTCGTTCAGTTCGGCCAGACAGTCCGCGTTCCTCTGTTGTTTCTCTTTCTCAAAATCGGAACCGAAGAGTGGACGGGCAGGGCTCAAACCCGGGGCCAGCGTCAGGCCTCGACCTCCTAAGCCGGACACGGCGGCGGCCAGCAGCCCGGGGGGCATCAAGCCGGGCATGGAGCTCAGCAGCGCCCTGCGCGCCCCTTCCACCACCGCCTCTTCGCGGCCCAGCCCGTTGGCCAGGCGGGACCCCAGGGTGTACTCCAGGGCCGGCGAGGGCAGCGGGAGGCGGCCCGAGGAAGTGGCCCTGTCATAGCGGTCCTGGCCGGAGGAGACGCCGCCGCCGCCGCCGCCGCCACCTCCGCCTGCCGCGCCTCCCGCGCCTCCTGCACCTCCAGCTCCGCCAGCGCCGCCGGCACCGCCCCCCGTGCCCGCACCGGCCCCCGACGGCTGCGGCTGAGCCTGCGGGGGAGGTGGCAGCTGGGGTCCCTGGGCGGCGGCGGCGGCTGCGGCGGCGGCGGCGGCTGCAGCGGCGGCCAAGTCCTTGGTGGTCGGGTGTTTGAGGGCCGGGGGTCCCGGCGAGCGGCCCTCGGGGAGCACGTGGCTGCGCTTGAGCTGGCGCGCGGCGTCAATGAGCAGCTCGATGCGGTCGGCGCCCTCGTAGTTGACGCAGCCGCGGCACACGGCCTCGCTGAAGTCCCACACCATGGCCCACGGCATCTTGGGCAGGTCGCACAGGTAGCACCATTGGCGGCGGGACGCCTGCACGGACGCCATGGCCCCCTCGCGCGCGCGCCGCCGCCGCCTGCTGCTCCGCGGGCTCCTCCGGCTCCTCCGGCTCCTCCTCCGCCGGACCCCGCGCTCCAGCCGCCGCCGCGATCGCCTCTTCCCGCCGCTCCACAGTCCCGGCCTCCCCGCCGGATCTCAGGCCCGGCCCCCCTTCCCCGCCCCCCTGGGCCTGCGCCTTTTTTTTTTCCCCTCTCTCTCTCTCTCTCTTCTTTCCCCTTCCTTCCTCCTTCTCCTCACGCCCGTTTCCTTTGCAACAGGCAGGCAGACGCACGCCGGCGGCTCCGCCCGGTCCCGGAGCCCAGCCGAGGCGCCCCGCACGGGCCCCGCCGCCTCAGGCTCCCGCCGCCGCCGCCGCCGCCGCTGCAACGGCCGCCGCCACCGCCTCCTTCTGCCCCAGAGGCCGCTTCGCAGGGAAAGTTACATAACGCGCCGGCAAAGCCTTCTGGGAAATGTAGTCCCGCCGGGGCCGGCTCTTAAAGGGGCCGGCGGTGGTTGGTCGCCTACTCGGTGCGCGACGCTGCCCGCATCGTCCGGGCTGGACCGGGGTGCGTGTGCCGGGCTGGACCGGGCTGTGTGCGCGCGCGCACGGGCAAGGTGACGGCCACCCCGAGGCGCTAGCCTTGTGCAGGACGTGCTGCCATCAGAGGAGCCTGCACACTCAGACCCCGAGCGCGGGCACTCGCCGCGCGCTCTGCTGGGGCAGCTTTTGCGCACCCGGACGGCGCTCCCTGGGCCTCAGTTTCCCCGCCCTTCCCCAAGCGGGCCAATGACGGGCTGCGCGACGGGGCGGCGGCGCGGCCAGGCCCTGATTGGACGGCCTCGAGCTGCAGGGATGGGGGAGCCGGACCTGGCTCGCCCCCCGCAGGCTGCCGCTGGGCCAGGCCGCTGCCGAAGCACGGGAAGGTCTGAGCGCGTCCGAACCGCCGCTGCCCGAGTTTCAGACCAAGGAGGGAAGCGTGGCTCCACGGACGCTCTGGCTTCCAAGGGGTTAACACCGCGGGCCACTCGCCGCCTCCTCCTCCCAGCGCACTACAACTCCCAAAATGCCCCGCGGGTCGGGCGGTGACGCACTTCCGTCGCCCGGGAGGCTGGGGGCGGCCTTCCTGAATCTCGCCGTCTTCCGCCCCCCCATCACCTCTCAGTCACTTAATGGGGGGCCCTTAAGGGACGGTCAGAAGCACGGGCGCCCCGATTTGAGGGACGGGGATTTAGAGGAGGGGGCTGCTGAGAAGGGCAAGCGCCACATCTCCCCCTTCCCTTCAGCTTGCGGGCTTACTTCCTGGTAGGCCCAGCCAGCTTGAGGGAAGCCCCCCCAAGCCCGGGTCCCTGTTTTCTCTCTCGGGGTGTAGGCAGTGATGGCTAGTCGGCTTCGAGGGAGGGAAAAACCCCATTTAAATGTCGCCTGTGACGGGGGGGGGGATGCCCTGTGCCATTCTTTGGCAGATGTTATGGGTGTCCGGCAGGATTAAGACGGCAGGTGAGCTGGATGGATATAAGGTCTCCGCTTTGGGGGCAAAAATTTGGGGCGACTGAGGCCCAATCTGGAAATGGGAGCGGAAGTTGCATTTACATTTTTTTTGTATTTTTAAATCACTGCCATGGCGGGTGTGTCAAGAAATGCTTTCCATGGAACTATACTCCTTGGGAGCTGGGGACGGCCGCCCCAATTGCTGTCTCCATAGGGCCATGCTAAGAATGAGCAACCTGGGGCCCAGAGACGAGGCTGCAGCAGGATCTGTGCTGAGTCCGAATCGGTGGCCATCTACTTTGTTAGCAGCCCCTCTCGCCTTTAGTGTCCCAACACTCACATGAGGCTCAGAGTCCTGCCTTCCACGGAGACAGGCTCATTTCCAGACATTATTATAACCAAGAGCCAAGGAATATTCAGGGAGGTTGGAAGAGGCCTTCCCCATGGTAGTTGGAGGGCAGGATCCCAGGACTTGCTGCCAAGGTGAGGTTTGCAGCTAAAGGATGGGTAATGCTTAAAATTCTGTGTGAACACAGGACTTAAGCAGGAAAACTACCTCCTCCCGCCTCCCGCTTCCAGGGGCTGCGGCTTGGCCCCGAACCTCGACCGACTGTACAAAAAAATAGGTTTATTGATATCTCGTCATTACTGAGAGAGGGATGAGGGGTGCAGCTCTGCAGGTGAGGGCAGCGAGTCCACCTCCTCCCCACCTCTCGCTGTCGCCACCCACATTTAGGTTTGTCTAGCAAGGTCCACCCTTTCCAAAGGCTGGGATGGATGGGGGGCGAGCTCCTCACGGGTCAGGTCTCTTCAAGTCACGAACAGGACATGTTGGGGAAGGGGCTGTGTGCAGACCCGCAGGAGTCCTCGCCCACCCCCCATGCGCAGGGCAGCGCGGGGTGGGTGTGGGGGGAATAAATGAACAGAAAATTGTTGATGGCTTTTTCAGGGTTGCGGGGAGGCAGCCAGGCAGACAGCAGTATAAAGGGGGGGCTAGAGGACAGCCTGGCGGCGAACCCCCCGCCCCACCTCCAGGAGAATCAGGCACTAACTAGCACAAGGGCTGGGGGCGCTCGGCCCCGCGCCCGCGCCAAGCTGGGGACCAAGGGGGATGCAGGCAGAGCAGCAAAATGAACCTTAAGGCGATTTCCATCGGCCCCGCCTCTTCCGCGTGGGGAAACCTTTTCGCCTCTTGTGTGGGGGCGAGTCGTGGGGAGGCAGGGTTGCTTGGGGCGGCCGGGGTGCCCCTTCCTCGCTCCTGGGGGCGATGATCACCCCCCGGTTCGCCACGACGGCTCCGTCCACTACAGCAGCCACCACGGACACGGGCTCCGGGCTGAGCTCCACCTTGGGGGCAGGCGGGGGCAGGACAGGCCCAGGAGGGGGTGGGGGCGGCGGGGACGGCAGCGGAGGCGGTGGCAGTGGAGGTGAGGCCCGTGGCTCCCCTGGGGTTCCCGGCAGGAGGGGCAGCAGGGCACTGAGAGCCTCGCTCAGTTTGGCCAGTCCCTGCCGCAGGGTGTCCGCCAGCTCCCGGATGGCACTGGCGGTTTCCTGCTGAGCTCGCAGGAAGTCCAGTGAGGGTTCTGGGTTGGAGGACATGGATGGAGGCCTCGGAGGTGGCGAGAGTGCCACTTGTGCAGGTGCTGCGGGTGGCAGTGGAGGAGGGGCCGAGGGGGGTGGAGACAAGGCCAGCCGGGGCAGCTGGACGGGCTGGGGGGCTGCAGAGGGTGGGCACTCACGCTCCTTGGGCCGTGGGCAGCCCCCTTCCTGGGCATGGCTGGATGGAGGCCGGGCCCAGGGCTGCGGACTGCTGGAGCCACCCTTGCCGTGGGCTGGAGCTTCTGAAGAGACACAAGGGGGGGGGGGGAGTGAGGTGTGCAATGCACAGAATGCTGTCTGTCTTAGCTAGTAGCTGCAACCAGGCAGAGCTCCAAGGCATGGAGCCCTCAGCCCCTGCTGCTGCCCAGGATGTACTAGCTGGGACTGGAGCTCCCAGCTCCCCAGGATGGGATGTGGCCATCCCCTTTTCCATCTGAGCCACCCCAACTCCTGCAGCATCCCTTTCAAACCCAAGTGCCATCACACCTGGGGTCAGAAGTCCCACAGCACACCTGGCTTTCTACCCAGGGGCCAGCATAAGCCTGGGGGTCTAGGTCAGCTATAGGGAGACACGGCCTGGGAGGTCCTGTGCTGGGCCAGGCAGGGACCCCAGCTCACTCAGGACATTGTGGAAGCACCTGCCCCCACACCTCTGGGGTCTCATCCCTGGCTCCTGGGCAGGGGCGGTGGGCTGGCTACAAGTGCTGGGGGATCTTCTTAGAAGCCCTCTGCACCTGGCACAGCAAGATCTGGAGACACCTGTATTCCCGGGCCACAGAGAGATTAGGGACCTCCCTTCTGCCCCTCTGTGCCATGCACCTGTTGTTTCACACGCTGGGATTCTTCTCACTCCTCACCCCCCACCCCAGTGCCCACTGGCCTGGGTGAGCTCATATTTCGCTTGGGCCACATTAGATCACCCCGTCTTTTCTCAAAGCCTGCAGCCTGGGAGGTGGCCGGGATGGCCCAAGGGGCTGGGTTTCCTTGCTCACCCACATGGGAAACCTAGATGGAATTCCTAATTTCCGGCCTCCCTCCCTACCTTCCTGCCACTGTGGATATTTGGAGAGTGAACCAGTGGGTGGAAATGTTTTTTTTTCCATGTAAAAGCATCCACCCAGGTCCTGTCTACCAGCATCCAGCTGGTAGGGTGGGAGGTGGTGGACCTGAGAGTAACTAGAATAAACAGGTCCTGGATACTTGGCCCAGTCAGGCCTTAAACTCAGCTGGTGTCAACACCCTGAGGCCTTGCAACCATCTCCTGGGGTGGGCACTGTCCTCACCAGCCCATTCCACAGATGAGGTGACTTGAGGCCCAAAGAGAACATCACAGACCCAAAACACAGAGGATGCACTGGAACCCAGGCTGGCTCCACAACCCAGGCTGTGTGACTACGACCTAGCGGGGGTGCCAGGCCAGGAGAGGGCACGGAGGTGGTGGTGTCTTCCTTATAAGGGGCATGGGCATTGCAGCCACTAGACAGTTTTGTTTTTGTTTCTTTTTTCTAGCCAACTGGATTAAAAAGGAACAGAAATAGGCCCAGTTGTCACATCCACGGGCCTTCTGGCAGTCGCAGGTTGAGCTGGGGCCTCCAGTTTCCACATCTGTAAACGGTGCCTGTGAGCATGGGATTGAATGGAAGCCAAAACAGCTTCTCTCCCTGCCCTGGAGAGGCACCCCAGGTTCTGGGGCTCAGGGCAGCATGCGGCAAGTTCTCCATGTCCTTTCTGACTTTATACTAGTATCACCAGAAACGTCCAGTCCTTGGCTGTGGCCCCAGTATGTGTCCTGATAGCTCAGGCCACTCCAGGACCCATGCTTTAACCTCCCGCTGGAGCAGGGGCCCTCTGAACCTCTGGCATCCTGGGTCAGTTGCAGAGGGCTCTATCTGAGGATGCCCCCAGGGCCTTTGCACCTGCCGGTTCAGACAGCAAAGGCCCACCTTGATGGTTTCATATGCCCCTCAGTGCCTCTCCAGTGCCCCAAGTCCTGACCTTGACTCAATCCTCCATGACTGACCGCTCTCTGGCATCCCTCCTGTAACGTCCAGCCCAGTGGCTAAGCGGCCTGGCCCGGGAGCCAGACACACACCTGCGTTCTGGTCCTCACCTTGTTACTGGCTGTGTGACCTTGAGTGATCTGTGTGCTTTCACTGTCTCCCTTCCTCCTCAGCACCTCGCCATAACACTTAGATAAAACTCAGACCCCATCTCTAGGCCTCAAAGACAGTTCAGTAGGGTCTGGCTTTAGCCCACCCACCACCCTTGCTGCTGCACTCCCCACCCCCACCTGCCCTAGGGCTTCCTCTCCTGTGTTTCACAGGCTCCCCCTCCAGGAAGCCCTCAGGGACCTCCCTGGACTGTATCAGACAGCCAAGCCCGGACCTGTCCACTCCAGTTATACCAGTCTTCCTACCAGACTTGACCCCAGGACCACCTAACATGCTGCGCTACTGGAATACCCCCACCCCACTCAAGGCTGAGTAGCTGTGACCTTGACAAAGTTACCAAACCTCCAGAAGTCTGATTTACAAAATGGTGAACCTGGCAGGTGCCACCAGCACCAGTAATTCTATCAAGCCCTGGAAACTGAATACTCAGGGAGCACCCACCATTCGCCCCTGTGAACTCAGGGCATCTCCACTGCCACCCCGGGGAATGTAGGGGCTGTTCTTGTGGTCATCTGACCGATCCGGAAAGATTGTGCGGACCATACCCGGGTAGCAAAGTTGCGGGCTCAGGCTGCCTTCCTCCAGAACCACGCACGACCCCCCGCCCCACGCAGAGTTCCACGCCCCTGAAGGAGGTGGGGGCTACTTCGCAGATGCAAAATGGGAACCCAACCCGCAGGGCTTTGGACCCCGCGAGCCCGCAAATTCCGGGGTCCAAAGGCGCAGCGACTCACCTGCTCGCCGCTCCTCCCTGCGGCTGTCCGACAGCGCATAGCGAGAAGCGACGGCGCCGGCGCCGGGTGCGGTCGGCTGCGGGGACGCAGTCGCCGCCGCCGCCGCCAACGCTGACGCCGCCGCGGGCTCCTCCTCAATTCCTGGCCCCGTGACGCCGGGTCCCAGAATGGCAAAAATGGTCTCTTCCTCCGCGGAGAAGGCGTCCTCGGCGGCGGGCCCGGTGCCTTGCGTGGAGTGCGGCACGCGGGCCAGCTTCTCCTTGGTGCGCCGCTTGAAGTCGTTCCAGCGCTTTTGCACCTCCTGGCCGGTGCGCTTCCAGCTGCTGATGCCGTTGATCTTGGCGGCGATGCCGTCCCACACGCGACGCCGCTCGGCCACACTCACCCGACGGCTCTGCGCGCCGTACAGCTGCGGGTAGTGAGCGCGCACCTCCCGGATCAGGATCTGGTTCTCCTCGAAGGAGAAGCGCGGCTTGCGCAGCCGGGTGGTCTCTTCCGCTTCGCCGGTCGTTGCCGCCACCGCCGCCGCCGAGGCCATGACGCCCCCCGACGCGACCGACCGGCCGCCTGGCGCATGGGACGAAGGGGGGGCGCCGGCGCTGCGGGCAAAGGGGCGCACGGTGCTGGCCGGGGGTGGGGGCGCTCGGTGTCCCCCGCCTAGGCCGCCCCGCGTGGACGTGGGCTCCCACTAGGGTACCGCGGCAGGGGTGAAGGTTGGGGGCTGCCAAAGGCACCTAGATATCAGCTGGCCCGGGCTGAGCGCTCACTTCGCGCTTGGCGCGCTGCGGTGCCCCACCGAGGAGTTGATGGAAATTGGGGGGGAGGGTCTGGAGGGATGGAGGGAAAGTGGAAGGAGACGCGGCGGCTCCAGGAGTTAGAGGAGAACGGGGGACACTGGGGAACGGGGGGTGGGGGTGGAGGAAGTCTCGGGGTTAAGGGGGCGCCCAAGGGGCGATGCAGCAAAGCGAGGATCTGGAGCAGCCGGGCGCTCTGGGGGCGCCGCTAGCACCTGGGCACGGCCCCGCGAGGGCATGACCACGAGTCGTGCAGAGTGCCATGGGGGTCCGCAGCGGGCCCGGCCCGGTCCAACCCCAAGGGCTTGGGGAGTGTGGGGGGCTCTGGGAGAGGGTGCGGAGATTTTGAGGGGAGCTCTGTGGGCATAACGGGTTTGGGGAGGTGGTCCAGGATCTGAAGGGGACGATGGAGGCGGTACGGGTGACTGCAGGAGGAGGAGGGATCGTGGAGGGTGGGGACCGAGTCGGGCCCGCGCGGGGTCACTCACCGGCGCCGCCGCAGCCCCCGCTAGCCCGTGGGTCGGGGCTCGCTTCTGCGGCCTCTTCCCCCCAGCCCCCCAGCCCCCGCCTCCCTCTCCCTCCCCTCTCGGGGCCCCGCCCCCGGCCGCCCCGAGAGCCAAGGCGCACGCGCGCCCGCAGCCTGTGGGCCCCGACGCCCTCCCTGCCCGGAGTTGCTTTCCCACCTTGCCCAACACGGCGCAAGCGCACAGGGGCCCTCCCGGGGCTCCCCCACCCCCAGCAGGCTATAACTGCGCAGCCGCAAGTTTAGCGCTGCCTCTGCCCGGCACCACCGTGCTCGGCCGTGCGCATGCGCTCGCCACCTGCTGTGGTACCCGAGAGTCGGGGTCTGCGCAGAGGAGGAAGGAGAGATGGATGCTGAAGGGGAACATTAGGGCGAAGCAAGCGGCATTCCTGCCTTTTAGACACTCTTCCAGTACTTTCAGATCTCCTTTTGGATAAAGGAGAAAAGGAGGCGCTTCGTCTCCATGACAACCGCGTGCGGGGGCGGGGGAGGAATTTGGGGAGACCTGAGGAAGCTGCCTGGGGCACCCTGGGGATATCCCACCCTGGGCGGATGCAGTAACTATAGCAACCTATCCACCTGCCAATCATGTCCGGGGACCCCCCTGTCCTCACCTTGACGTCATGGCTCAGGGAGGGGACGGAGATGGGAGTTTCTGAAGGGAGCAGGGGCTGTAGGGGGAGGTGGGGAGGGCGGACCTGGTGCAGGCAGGGCTTTCAGCGAATGCGTGGAGACGGAGACAGGAAGCTGGAACGCGGGTTGGATGGACCGAATGGCAGTTGGGTCCGGTTGGGCTATTTCCTGTTTAGCATCCTGCAGGAGTCCTCAAGGTTATTTCATGCGTGGTGCTCCATTCGTCAAAAAAAAAAAAAAAAAAAAGTGCCCACAAGGCACACACTTTTTAGGGGGCCAGACAGACTGCAAATAATGTCTAGGTGGGAGAGGTAGCTGTGATGATGGAAAATGAGATTAGGAAGATGGTGGTGCCCGCCAGTAATTTCACCGTTGAGTGGCTGGTGGGGAAGGGGACGGGAAGGAGGGAGGTGTTGCCAGGGCCAAATGTATGGAGGCAGGAATGTGTGGGGGCTGCAGATGGAAACTTGGGGAGAGAGTAGGCTGGAGGTGGGGTCAGACGATACAGCGTCAATTGAGAAGGAGCGGTGCCTGTTGCTCAGTGGACCCCCCACCCCACCCCAGAAAACAAACTCTGAAGATTCAAGTCCCACATCCAGCACACCTCCGTGGGACCCTGTTAGGAAATCCGGTCCATGGAGATGGGACTGGTGAAGATGGGGGTGCATAGTGTCCCTATACGAGGAGGAGTGACAGCCCCGTGAGATGGCAGCTGGGAGCCAGCACCTCTGGGAAAGGCCAAGAGGGATCCAGCCTTGGCTGCCCAGGCAGCTGAGGCCCAGCCCAGCCCTTCCACTTCCCAGCTGTAGGACCGAGGGAGACCTGTTTTTCTTTCACAGGGAAGCACTCCACTTGTGGCCCTGTGTGGTGGGAGCTGGAGATCTGCAGGAGGCAGCCAGGGAGGGGTTGGCCCCAGGGGGCATGTGGGTTGAGGTCAGTGCCAGGACCCAATGTGCTCTGTGCCTGGGAGAAGGCTGGGGAGGCTCCCCAGCTGTGGGGAGCCAGGTGTGGGCCAAGGCAGGGGGTCAGAGGGCAGGGGCCCTGGGAGGGGAGCCTCGGAGGAAAGGTTCTCTATGCATCTTTTCCCAATGTAGGTCTTTTTGTTTTAAAGATTCTTTGTTGTTGCCGTTGTTGTTGTTGTTGTTGTTGTTGTTGTTGTTGTTGGAAATGCAGGTTTATAGAGAAAAGCTACAAAGGCCTTTTGCCTGGTGATTCGCTCCCCAAGGTTCACAAACAGCCAGAACTGAGCTGATCTGAAGTCAGGAGCTTCTTTTGTTATCTCCCGTGTGGGTGCAGGGTCCCAAGGCTTTGGGCCATCTTCCACTGCTTTCCCAGGCTACTGGATGGGAAGTGGAGCAGCTCAGACATGAACCAGTGCCCACCTGGGATCCTGGTGCATGTAAGGCGAGGATTTAGCCCCTATGTTAGCACGCCAGCACCCTCTCCTTTAAATATTTTTTAATTTGTTTATTTTTATTGGAAAGGCAAATAAACAGAGAGGAAGATCTTTCATCCGATGGTTCACTCCCTAAATGACCACAACGGCTGAAGTTGAGCCAGACCAAAGCCAGGAGCCTCTTCCGGGTCTCCCACATGGGTACAGGGTCGCAAGGCTTTGGGCCGTCCTTGACTTCATTCCCAGGCCACAGGCAGGGAGCTGGATGGGAAGTGGAGCTGCCAGGATACAAATTAGCACCCATATGGGATCTTAGCACCTTCAAAGTGAGGACTTTAACCACAAGGCTATTGTGTCAGGTCCAACCCCCTCCTTTTTTTTTTTAAAGGGCTATTGAAAAGCAGAGCGAGAAAAAATAAAGCTTCCCTCCACTTGCTCAGTCCCCAAGTGGCTTCAGCAGCTGTATTGGATTAGGCCAAAAACAGGTGCCAGGAGCTTTTTCTGGTCTCCCATGTGGGTGCAGGGGCCTGAGCACCTAAACTACCCTCTGCTTTCTCAGGCACGTTAGCAGGGAGCTGGATGGGGAAGTGGAGTAGCCAGGACTTGAATCAGCACCCGTATGGGATGCAGGCATTGCAGGTGGCAGCTTGACCGGTTCCTCTTGAAGCAACAGTGGGTGCAGGAAAATGCCCTGTGGCTTGCAGCCAGTGCCACGCCGATGAAACAGAACAGAACTGAAAAGTATCTGAATGGGTTTCTGTGGTCAGGTAAGGACACCCCAAGCACTGTGTGTTAGCTCCAAGTTTCCAGAGGTGACTAAGTCCCCTCATAGGACAGTGGCCATCGATCAGCTCAGGAGCCAGCCGGAGTGCAGACGCTTCCCCCTGGCTTATCGTGTGACTTAGGACAGACGATTCAAAACAACCTCTTAATCTTCCTCTCTGTCAAACTGGGATGAACTCCCAGCGCCACCTCTTTGCTTCCTTACCTCACATAGGTCGCCTGTGTCAGGTGTTGGAGCGCGGTGTGTTGTCTTCACTCTTCTTGTGTGATCCCTTCTAGTTCCATGTGTGTGCCGGTGTGCACCTGTAAGTGTGCATGCCTTGTACATATGTGTGTGTATGTGTGTGCATGTATGTGTATCATCCACACACATACTCCTTGTGGACTGCAGTGAAAAAAATGCAAGGAAGTGAAATTTGGAGAGTTGGTTGTTAGCACAGTATGTTCTTAGCAGGAGGCGGGAATCCGGATCAGAAAAGACTCAAGAGGCTTGTTAAGTTACAAAAGCCGCCCTCAGCACCTGGATACAGAAGGAACAAAACATTGAACTCTTGGGCTTCGAGCCACGTAGACCATGTGCAGCTGGGATCCCACCTCCACAGAGAGGCGGCAGCAGCAGCAGGGGGTGTGGAGTTGTAGATGGGGCCCATGCCCTGCAGGACCTGGGGGGCAGCCGGCTTGTGGGCAGCTTTGTCCAGCTCAGCCTGGGGTGTTCACACAAGAGACTTCAGCTCCACTCCTTGAAGCCTGTCAGCGGCCTGAGCCCGGCCCACCCAGACGATCTCGGATAATCCTTCTTATGGCAGGAAACCAGTGACGGGCTCTGGGGAAACGCCGCTGAGGCAACACCTGGGCGCTGTAGCCTGGCCAGTGTGATGCCCAGCACATGGAGGCCTCTCAGAGAAGGGCACACTGGAGCAAGGCCTGCAGGAGGTTGCTGAGCAAAGGGAGCCAGCTGGCTACCCAGGACTAGTGCAGGCCGTGGAGGGGGACAGCAGGTGCAAGCGCTTAGGCTGGGAGTGTGGCAGGCTGTGGTGGCTGGAGTTGAGAGCTGAGTGGGGGCAGCAGGGGCAGCCCTGAGACTGGGTAGAGAGGCAGATCTAAGGCCTTTGGGACTGGACAGGTGTTAGGCTTTGAATGTAGGCAAGACAGCGACCCCTAGAGGACTCATAGCAGAAGTGCACATGTATGACTGTGTGTGTGTGTGTGTGTGTGTGTGTGTGTGTGTGTGTGTGTGTGTGTGTGTGTGTGTGTGTACACACGCGTGGGCACACGGGCCAGGATCCCATATGGTTGCCGGTTCTAATCCTGGCAACCTCGCTTCCCATCCAGCTCCCTGCTTATGAGCTGGGAAAGCAGTGGAGGACGGCCCAAAGCTTTGGGACCCTGCATTCAGTCTCTGCTCATCT